TTCACACGCGCCGGCCTCTCGGACCCTGCGGACGCCGGCGCCCCCGCCCAGCCCCCACCGGCTCGGGTCCAGCCTCCGGGCCTGGGAGGCCGGCTGCACCGAGGGGACCCAGGAGGCCCCCTCCCCACCGCGGAAAGCCAGGACTCAGGCCCTGCAGTGAAAAGTTAAGTCCTTCCCAACTCCCTCTCGCCTTGCTGACAGATCTGCTTCCCCAGAATGGCATACAAGGGATTGGGGAGTCTGTGCGTCTGCAGTGAACTAGCCGGGACATTTATTTCTTTAACCAGCACTTGACACGAAGGCTCTTCCTTCCGGGCACTGTTCTAAGCGCCTTACACATATTCACTCATTTAATCTTCGCATTTAATTGTGGGTCTTATGGTGATCCCCTTTACAGAGAGGAGAAGCTACTTGCTCAAGGCCATCACTCGAAGTCCAGTAGCCTATTTCCAAACTCTGGGTGTTTTATCACTTCCCTGTCCTAAATGTCCCTATGAGAGGCATTAATATTCAAAATGAGAAACTGTACAGGTCAAGCCAAACACACCAGTGGTTGGCCCCGGGGCGAGGGTTGCGGGGAGGGGGGGGCATAGGGGGTCGAAACTCCTGCCCCAACCTGAGGGTCTTAGCTTAAAGCCCTTGTTTAGATTCTCAGAGTCAGTAGACACCCACACTGGTAACAGAGTAAGCACCCAGCCAGGCCCTAGTGCTTTATTTTTATTGACCTCCTCACTGCAAAATCCTTACCATCTCAATTCACAGAGGAGGAAATTGAGGCAGAGAGACATGACTGCTTAACCAAGGTCGCACAGCCAGTAGGTGGCAGAGGTGGGGATTCTAACTCAGGCCATCTAGACGCAGAACCCTCTTTGGTGAGTTCTGCCTGCCGGTGTTGGGGGGATGGGCCACAGCTGTGGGTCTGGTCTGGAAAGAGAGGATGCCATAATTCGGAACAGGATCTGGACTAAATAGTGGGAAGGATTTTGAATAGTGACCATGCTTATGGCCTGGGAGACTCCTGGCCCTCTCCGGCTCTCTCCCGCCCCTACCCACCAAGCCCGATTCCTCTCATCCTTTACACACATTTTCTTCACAGAAAATCATTCCAGTACATCTGGCCTCCTGGTGTCCAGTCCTAGATCGAGCAGCCTGAGGGCACAGTTCGGTGAGTGAGGGGTACAGGCTGGACCGTGAACTAGCCCACAGCCGGGGCCTGCCTCTGTCCTAATTTCACCACTGCCAGACACAGAGCAGTGACAATAACGAAGGTACGTGAGAAGTAACTGCTAACATTTATTAGGCACCTACTACATGTCAGACAGTGCACTCAGTGACTTCCATGCATGATCTCATTTAATAAATGTCTGAAGTGGTCTTTCTCAAATGCTTTTCCACTCGGTCTTTAAAGTCAGAAATACACTCTCGGCGACCCGGTGTGTTTTCACTACATATTAACAAAATTTTCACAAAACTATGTTTTCCTTCCACTTCATGATTTTTGAAAAGGATATTCTACTTTGTATTTTTTTTTTTTTTTAAAAGCCTGGTCCTGAGCCACTAAAGCTGCAGGTAGAAGGATTTGACCGTAAAAGGGCACAGGGAAGTATGTGGGTGATGGAGATGTTCTGAATCTTGATCGTGGTGGTGTCTGACGGTGTACATTTGTCACATCTCACCAAACTATATCCCTAAAAAGAGTGAATTTTATTGTGCGTAAATATATCTCAATAAACTTGAACAGAGAAACAGGAAGACCCGTGAGAGTGATTTCATAATCCATGGTTGGCTCATGAGCCAGTTTGAAAAACACTAGGAAGAAGAACAGGAAAATGAATGAGTGTGGAGTGAATGAGGGAAGGAGGTCGGAATAGTCCCAATGTTAAAGTAGGGGGGTTTCCGGCGCGATCTCAGGATCTGGCCGTGGAGGGGGCCGAGTTCGAGAGCCCGGAGGAGCCCACCATTGCTCAGGACTGACATTCCTTCTTGGCCAACCCAGCATGGGGCACTCAGAGGTGACTCACCCTCTAGTGATGTGGTTTGGTTGGGGGTGGGGGTGTGTGACAGAGAGGGTGTGGAAGGTGCAGGGGAGACAGAGCCCCAGGGCCCTAGGAGAAGAAAAGACAGGGGTCACCGAGATAGAGCTAAGGTGGGGGTGACCATGGGAAACTGAGAAGGGAAAGGGAAGTGAAAACCCTGTGCGTGTGGAGCAGGGGCTGCCCGGGCATGTCCGTGCTCCGTGCCGGGGCTTCTTCCTGGCCCTGGGTCCCCCGCCAGATGGGTGGCAACTGTGGCCACGTGTGCCTTCTCCGGAGTGTACCCCGTCAGTGAGCCAGTTAGCAGGTACCTGTCAGAGGTGTGACTTTGTGACTGTGAGTTGGGGGCCAGTTTCTTTGATGTCTGACTTGGGCCGTCTGTCTGTGAGCGTCACTGGTGGTTTTAGTGTGCCAGCTGTGAGCTGGTGTGGCCATGTTTGTGTGCATCCCTGTGGGAGTGTCATCTAGGTCAACCTCTGTGTCCAGGTATCACTGTGACCGGTGTCTGTGTGTGTGTGTGTGTGTGTGTGTGCGCGCGCGTGTGGCCCTGCTCAGTGGGGATGTCATGAATGGGAACTCGGTCAGTTTGCGGGTCTGCGTGCGCTCCTCAGTGTGGGTGTCTGTGCACCTGTGCGTGGCCCTCCGCTTGTGCCGGAGACCGCGTCAGCGAGCCAGTCTATGCATTCGTGTCTGGGGGGAGAAGGGGGGTGTGCGCCCCGGTCGGCGTGCGGTGGTTTGTCCTCGTCCCCGTTCAAGGTGTGCATCGGTGCGGCGGTGGCGGTCTGAGCATCGGCTCGTTCCCGGTGGCCCTTGTCAGCACGTGACCGTGTGTCCCCTGGAGCGCGGCTCCGAGGGCGTGTGTCTGCGGGTCCCAGTCAGTGT